AGGGAACATTCTTTCTTCGATGGACCACCAAGGTAAGCCACCATTCTTCCTTCTACTGACCAGCAGCGTCAATTAGCATTTCTCCTACGGAACACCCATGTTAAGGGTGTTCTTCAATTTACTGAGTTCTCATGTAAGGAGACCCTCTTCCTTCTATTTACCACCCCATAAAGGAACATTCCCTACTGACCACATCCCTTCTACTGACCACCAACAGAAGAGAACCTCCTTCCTTTTACTGACCACCCACAACTACCTACTGGTCACCCATTTCTGAGTCCTCCAAACTACAAATACGATCTGAGCCCCGAAGAAGGAGAACTTTCATCCCCAAAGTCATTGCCTGTTCCATGTTGTCTTGTTATGGGCGAACAATTACATAGTTACATAGTTAGTCTGGCTGAAAAAAGACAAAAGTCCATCCAGTTCAACCATAGAAAAAAAAAAAAGTTATTATCCTACACCCACAGTTGATCCAGAGGAAAGCAAAAAAACCCAGCAAAGCACGATCTAATTTGCTTCTGCTGGGAAAAAAATTCCTTCCTGACCCTCCTGATCTTTCCCACAATAATGTGAAAAGATTTGGGACTTTTGTTCCGGTGCTCCCATTACACTTTTTATACTTGGGTCTTAAACTTTGGGTCACCTATTTATGGGGTGCTCAGTTTTTTCCTGAGTGGTCCTCACTAGAGCCATGGTTAAATCATCAACTACTGATTAGTGGCTTCTGGTGCCTCATTCATCCCAGTAATCATAGAACATGACTGCGGCATCACTCACACCAAGACAATGGATCGCCATGCGTTATGTCGCATGCTAAGGGCTGTCAATGCAGCACTGTGGACGAAGAATATCAGACATGTGCAAATCGGTGAAGTGCGGCAGGTGTGTTCCCATAGTGCGCTGGGCTGCCATAGACAGGGACTGGCACTGCAATACATAAATGTGCGCATGATGTGTTACTGCGATGTGTGAGCCACTCCGATAGAATGGAGACCCTCATAATAACAAGATCTGATGGTGATCCACACAATAACAGAACCAGAGGGAGACCCTCCAAATATTAGATCCTCATGTAGAACCACATAATACTGGAACCGGATGGAGACCCTCATAATAACACACCTTGACAAGAGATCCACATAATAATAGAACCCGAGGGAGAACCTTTAACACTTCATGTCCGGACACTTTTACCCCCTTCCTGTCCAGGCCAATTTTCAGCTTTCTGCGCTGTCATACTTTGAATGACAATTGCGCGGTCATGCAACACTGTACCCATATGAATTTTTTAGATAAAACTTTATTTTGGTGGTATTTATTCACCACTGGGACTTTTTTTTTTTTGCTATATAAATGAAAAAGTCAAAAAATTTTGAAAAAAGTGTTTTTCTTATACAATTTTGCAAATAATCTGTCTTCATAAAACTTGGCCAAAATGTATTCGGTTATCTTTTTAGTAAAAAAAAATTAACCCAAATTAGTTTATAACCAAAAATTATAATTTTTAAAAAAGTTTTGGTAAAAGCAATCATTTATCCTCTCTGGCTGCATTCTTGCAGCCCTTGAAAAATACTGTGAGAGCTGTGATTGGTCACAGCTTGTCACATGGTACAAGGCTGTTGTGAATAGCCTTGTACCATGTGACCTCTGTGATCATTCACAGATTTCACAAGTAGTAAGCAATGATATCAGAAGTGACATCTTGCTTTCTACTATTCATGTGATCACCGATTGGCCAATCAGTGATCACATGATCAGGACTTCACACAGAGGTCCTGTACAGCGATCAGATGTGAATGAAGTCTCAACCATGTAGATAAACAAATGCAAAACATTCTATAGATGAACATGACCTTCCCGTGGTCTCCATCCTCATTATACGTCTTCCAGTCTGGGGGATTCCTATCACAGCTGCTGCAGGAATCCGTAAACCACACCCACATGGCCACACCCACTTATCACTGCACTATATGCACCACATTCTGCCCCATTAGGGTTGTCCTTCTTTGTCAAGTTGGGAGGTGTGTTGTGGGGACCCTCCTAATAGTGGACTCTGACGGAGACCCTCATAATACTGGAAGCTGACGGAGACCCTCATAATACTGGAAGCTGACGGAGACCCTCATAATACTGGAAGCTTAAAGAGACCCTCATAATACTGGAAGCTGTCGAAGACCCTCATAATAACAGAAGCTGATGGAGACCCTCATAATATTGGAATCTGATGGAGACCCTCATAATAACAGAAGCTGACGGAGACCCTCATAATACTGGAAGCTTAAAGAGACCCTCATAATACTGGAGGCTGACGGAGACCCTCATAATAACAGAAGCTGATGGAGACCCTCATAATATTGGAATCTGATGGAGACCCTCATAATAACAGAAGCTGACGGAGACCCTCATAATACTGGAACCTGACGAAGACCCTCATAATAACAAAAGCTGACGGAGACCCTCATAATACTGGAACCTGACAAAGACCCTCATACTGGAACCTGACAGAGACCCTCATAATAATAGAACCTGACGGAGACCCTCATAACACTGGAACCTGACGGAGACCCTCATAATAAAAGAACCTGACAAAGACCCTCATAATAATAGAACCTGACAAAGACACTCATAATACTGGAACCTGACGGAGACCCTCATAATACTGGAACCTGACAGAGACCCTCATAATAATAGAACCTGACGGAGACCCTCATAATACTGGAAGCTGAAGGAGTCCCTCATAATAATAGAAGCTGAGGAAGAACCTCATAATAATAGAACCTGACGGAGACCCTCATAATACTGGAAGTTAACAGAGACCCTCATAATACTGGAACCTGACAGAGACCCTCAAAATAATAGAAGCTGACGGAGACCCTCATAATACTGGAACCTGACGGAGACCCTCATAATACTGGAACCTGACGGAGACCCTCATAATAATAGAACCTGACGAGGACCCTCATAATACTGGAACCTGACGAGGACCCTCATAATACTGGAAGCTGACGGAGACCCTCATAATAATAGAACCCCCTCATAATACTGGAACCTGACAGAGACCCCCATTATAAAAGAACCTGACAGAGACCCTCATAATACTGGAACCTGACAGAGACCCCCATTATAATAGAACCTGACAGAGACCCTCATAATACTGGAACCTGATGGAGACCCTCATTATAATAGAACCTGACAGAGACCCTCATAATACTGGAACCTGATGGAGACCCTCATTATAATAGAACCTGATGGGGACCCTCATTATAATAGAACCTGATGGAGACCCTCATAATAATAGAACCTGATGGGGACCCTCATTATAATAGAACCTGATGGGGACCCTCATTATAATAGAGCCTGACAGGGACCCTCATTATAATAGAACCTGACGGGGACCCTCATTATAATAGAACCTGATGGGCACCCTCATAATACTGGAACCTGATGGGGACCCCCATTATAATAGAACCTGATGGGGACCCCCCATTATAATAGAACCTGATGGGGACCCTCGGCCTGTTCTGTAGCCCCTCATAGAATTCCAGCATGGGTTGTAATGCTTGGTATGGAAGAAGCTGTCTCCCCCCTCAGAAGGTGTCACCAGGACAGGGAGTGAAATCTCCTCAGGGATCACATATTGTGATAAGACAGATATCGGTGGTTTCCCCCCCCTCCCCCTCTCTATGGAGCCTGAAAAGCTCACCAAGGGCCCCTCTCCGGATCTGGGGGCCACACCGGGTCCCGAGTGCTACCCCGTCAGCTCTATAGAGGTCCCGGGCATCCGGGTACTGAGCGGACTAAAACTCCCAGCATCCCCGTGGCGGCCTGCACTCCGTCTCCATGGTGACCGGACCTCACCGTACAGCAGGCCACGGGCCCGGCGGTGACGTACCGGGAGAGGGAGGAGCTCCGGGGACAGGCAGCACACCAGAGAGAGGGCCCGACACCGGGCATCTTCGCTCTCTTCCTCCGTATCACCGGCGAGGCTGGGCGTGTCTCAGTCCAACCCATCACTGGGAAGAATGTCTGTTGCATTGGTGTCAGAGGGAAGAATATCCGTTGCATTGGTGTCAGAGGGGAGAATGTCCGTTGCATTGGTGTCAGAGGGAAGAATGTCCGTTGCATTGGTGTCAGAAGGAACAATGTTCCTTACGTGGGTGTCACTGGAAAGACTGCACCTTACATTGGTGTCAGTGAGAATAATATCCCTTACATTGGTGTCACTGAGAAGAATGCTCCTTACATTGGTGTCAGTGAGAAGACTGTCCCTTACATTGGTGTCAGGGGGAAGAACGTACCATATATTGGTGTCAGTGGGAAGAATGTCTCTTACATTGGTGACACTGAGAACGTCCCTTACATTGGTGTCAGAGGGAAGACTGTCCCATATATTGGTGTCAGTGGGAAGAATGCTCCTTACATTGGTGTCAGTGGGAACAATGTCCCATATATTGGTGTCAGTGGTAAGAATGCTCCTTACATTGGTGTCAGTGGGAACAATGTCCCATATATTGGTGTCAGTGGTAAGAATGCTCCTTGCATTCGTTTCACTGTCCCTTACATTGGTGTCAGCAAGAAAATTTTTCCTTACATTGGTGTTGACTGAGAAGAATGTCCCTTACATTGGTGTCAGTGGGAAGATTGCCCCTTGCATTGGTGAAACTGAGAAGAATGTCCCTTACATTGGTGTCAATGGGAAGAGAATTCCTTACATTGGTGTCACTGAAAAGAATGCCCCTCACATTGGTGTCATTGAGAAGAATGTCCCTTACAAGGAGCTTGCCTTGGTGTCATTGATAACCATGTCCCTTACATAGGTGTCAGTGGAAAGAATGCCCTTTATATTGTCACAAGAAAGAATGCCCCTTAAATTGGTGTCATTGAGAAGAATATCCCTTAAATTGGTGTCAGGGAGAAGAATGTTGCTTACTTTGGTGTCACTGAGAATAATGTCCCTTACATGGGTGTCAGAGTGAATAATGACCCTTACATTGGTGTCATTGAGCATAATGTTCCTTTACATAGGTGTCATTGGGAAGAATGCTTAGATTGGTGTCAGATGGAAAAATGGGCCACTGTTCCTTTCATTGATGCTAACGATGGAGCAGTATTTTTCCCACTGACATCAAGAATGGGGTCACTATTCCTCCCACTGACACCAATGATGGGGGAACTATTACTCCCACTGACACCAAGAATGGGACACTATTCCTCCCACTGACATCAATGATGAGGCACTATTCCTCCCACTGACACCAATGATGGGGGGGCACTATTCCTCCCACTGACACCAACGATGGGGCACTATTCCACTGACACCAACGATGGGGCACTATTCCTCCCACTGACACCAGCGATGGGGCACTATTCCTCCCCCTGACACCAACGATGGAGTACTATTCCTCTCACTGACACCAATGATGGGGCACTATTCCTCCCACTGACACCAACGATGGGGCACTATTCCTCCCACTGACACCAATGATGGGGCACTATTCCTCCCACTGACACCAAGAATGGGGCACTATTCCTCCCACTGACACCAATGATGGGGCACTATTCCTCCCACTGACACTAACGATGGGGCACTGTTTCTCCCACTGACACAAACGATGGGGCACTATTCATTCCACTGACACCAATGATGGGGCACTATTCCTCCCACTGACCACAGATGGGGCACTATTCCTCCCACTGACACCAATGATGGCGGCACTATTCCTCTCACTGACACGAATGATGGAGCACTATTCCTCCCACTGACACCAATAATGGGACACTATTCCTCCCACTGACATCAATGATGGGGCACTATTCCTCCCACTGACACCAATGATGGGGCAGTATTCCTCCGACTGACACCAAGAACAGGACACTATTCCTCCCACTGACATCAATGATGGGACACTATTCCTCCCACTAACACCAATGATGGGGGCACTATTCCTCCCACTGACACCAATGATGAGGCAATATTCCTCCCACTGACACCAATGATGGGGCACTATTCCTCCCACTGACACCAATGATGGGGCACTATTCCTCCCACTGACACCAGTGATGGGACACTGTTTACTCCCGGTGACACCAAGGCATTTTTCTGCTCCTGCTATCCACAGTCTGCCCCCCCCCCCCCCCCCCCCCCAGTAATGTGGCCCTTTGTTTCCAATATTTGGAGACCTCTGGTTTGGTGGAAACTGATCTTTGAGCATTGTAATCTAGAAGCTCAGATGTGCTTTTCCACTTGCTGCCTTCCTGTGTACATTCCAGGGATCCCGTGTGTAGTAGGTAGGAGGGAGTGGCGTGACCTTCCTCTGATCATTCAGCTGTGTGTGTAGTGTGGCATCCTGTAAGGTCCAGTATGGACAAGGAGGACTTGCACCATCCAGCCATAGACTGGTGCATTACTGAGCTATTGCAGTCGTTAAAGTGACTGCAGAAAGAGATGTGTCAGCACGCTGGAAAATCTTTCTGCAACCGATAGCCAATGAATTGCCACAGTCACTACAGGACTTCCAAGGTTTAGTTCTCCTTTCTGTCTGCAGACTGTCACTTTTTTACATTGTGCCTTAGAAGTTTTCTTCTTGTCTCTTCCTGTCTTGCGAGTAGCTAACCTGCCTTGTGGGGCCCCATAGAGCCCCCACATAGCTCCCCTTACCTGCGCATTTCAGCCGGGGACAGCCTGGTGCATGCAATTTGCTGTCATGCGACCATTATGTGACATCCATTGTGCGTATGCTTCAGCCTGGGGCAGAGGTGCGCATGTGCGGTCATCAGCAGGGATGAAGAAAGGACCGTGTACTCCTGATGTGGGCGGGCATGAGACAGGGGCACGCATGCTCCGTGTTCTCACTGGGGGGTGAAGGACCGTGTACGCCTGATGTGGGCGGGCATGAGACAGGGGCACGCATGTCCTGTGTTCTCACTGGGGGTGAAGGACCGTGTACTCCTGATGTGGGCGGGCATGAGACAGGGGCACGCATGCTCTGTGTTCTCACTGGGGGTGAAGGACCGTGTACGCCTGATGTGGGCGGGCAGTAGACAGTGCACGCATGTTCTGTGTTCTCACTGGGGGAGAGGGACCGTGTACTCCTGATGTGGGCGGGCATGAGACAGGGGCACGCATGTTCTGTGTTCTCACTGGGGGTGAAGGACCGTGTGTACTCCTGATGTGGGCGGGCATGAGACAGGGGCACGCATGCTCTGTGTTCTCACTGGGGGTGAAGGACCGTGTACTCCTGATGTGGGCGGGCATGAGGCGGGCACGCATGCTCTGTGTTCTCACTGGGGGTGAAGGACCCTGTACTCCTGATGTGGGCAGGCATGAGACAGGGCACGCATGTTCTGTGTTCTCACTGGGGGAGAGGGACCGTGTACTCCTGATGTGGGCGGGCATGAGACAGGGGCACGCATGTTCTGTGTTCTCACTGGGGGTGAAGGACCGTGTACTCCTGATGTGGGCGGGCATGAGACAGGGGCACGCATGTTCTGTGTTCTCACTGGGGGTGAAGGACCGTGTACTCCTGATGTGGGCGGGCATGAAACAGGGGCACGTATGCTCTGTGTTCTCACTGGGGGTGAAGGACCATGTACTCCTGATGTGGGCGGGCATGAGACGGGGCACGCATGCTCTGTGTTCTCACTGGGGGTGAAGGACCGTGTACTCCTGATGTGGGCGGGGGCATGAGACGGGCACGCATGTTCTGTGTTCTCACTGGGGGTGAAGGACCGTGTACTCCTGATGTGGGCGGGCATGAGACGGGCACGCATGTTCTGTGTTCTCACTGGGGGTGAAGGACCGTGTACTCCTGATGTGGGCGGGCATGAGACAGGGGCACGCATGCTCTGTGTTCTCACTGGGGGTGAAGGACCGTGTACTCCTGATGTGGGCGGGCATGAGACGGGGCACGCATGCTCTGTGTTCTCACTGGGGGTGAAGGACCGTGTACTCCTGATGTGGGCGGGCATGAGACGGGCACGCATGTTCTGTGTTCTCACTGGGGGTGAAGGACCCTGTACTCCTGATGTGGGCGGGCATGAGACAGGGGCACGCATGTTCTGTGTTCTCACTGGGGGTGAAGGACCGTGTACTCCTGATGTGGGCGGGCATGAGACAGGGGCACGCATGTTATGTGTTCTTACTGGGGGTGAAGGACCGTGTACTCCTGATGTGGGCGGGCATGAGACAGGGGCACGCATGCTCTGTGTTCTCACTGGGGTGAAGGGACCATGTACTCCTGATGTGGGCGGGCATGATGAGACGGGGCACGCATGCTCTGTGTTCTCACTGGGGGTGAAGGACCGTGTACTCCTGATGTGGGCGGGCATGAGACGGGCACGCATGTTCTGTGTTCTCACTGGGGGTGAAGGACCCTGTACTCCTGATGTGGGCGGGCATGAGACAGGGGCACGCATGTTATGTGGTCTTACTGGGGGTGAAGGACCGTGTACTCCTGATGTGGGCGGGCATGATTCAGGGGCACGCATGTTCTGTGTTCTCACTAGGGGTGAAGGACCCTGTACTCCTGATGTGGGCGGGCATGAGACGGGCACGCATGCTCTGTGTTCTCACTGGGGGTGAAGGACCGTTTACTCCTGATGTGGGCGGGCATGATTCAGGGGCACGCATGTTCTGTGTTCTCACTGGGGGTGAAGAACCGTATACTCCTGATGTGGGCGGGCATGAGACGGGGCACGCATGCTCTGTGTTCTCACTGGGAGTGAAGGACCGTGTACTCCTGATGTGGGCGGGCATGAGACAGGGCACGCATGCTCTGTGTTCTCACTGGGGGTGAAGGACCCTGTACTCCTGATGTGGGTGGGCATGAGACAGGGGCACGCATGTTCTGTGTTCTCACTGGGGGTGAAGGACCGTGTACTCCTGATGTGGGCGGGCATGACACAGGGGCACGCATGTTCTGTGTTCTCACTGGGGGTGAAGGACCGTGTACTCCTGATGTGGGCGGGCATGAGACGGGCACGCATGTTCTGTGTTCTCACTGGGGGTGAAGGACCGTGTACTCCTGATGTGGGCGGGCATGAGACAGGGGCACGCATGCTCTGTGTTCTCACTGGGGGTGAAGGACCGTGTACTCCTGATGTGGGCGGGCATGAGACAGGGGCACGCATGTTCTGTGTTCTCACTGGGGGTGAAGGACCGTGTACTGCTGATGTGGGCGGGCATGAGACGGGGCACGCATGCTCTGTGTTCTCACTGGGAGTGAAGGACCGTGTACTCCTGATGTGGGCGGGCATGAGACGGGGCACGCGTGTTCTGTGTTCTCACTGGGGGTGAAGGACCGTGTACTCCTGATGTGGGCGGGCATGAGACAGGGGCACGCATGTCCTGTGTTCTCACTGGGGGTGAAGGACCGTGTACTCCTGATGTGGGCGGGCATGAGACGGGGCACACATGCTCTGTGTTCTCACTGGGGGTGAAGGACCGTGTACTCCTGATGTGGGCGGGCATGAGACGGGCACGCATGTTCTGTGTTCTCACTGGGGGTGAAGGACCATGTACTCCTGATGTGGGCGGGCATGAGACAGGGGCACGCATGTTCTGTGTTCTCACTGGGGATGAAGGACCATGCATTCCCAATGTCCTCTGACCATGATGATGTCTACAGCGCAGGATTCCTGCTCTTCCATACCGAAAGTTCAGGGAAGTGGCACTGAGCCATAAGGAGGAGTGAGTGGCTGTTATGACTACAAAACGTAAGAGATCAGGGATAATAATACTTGATGCTGCAGCTTTCCTTGGTGATAAGTGAAAAAAGAGGAAGGTTTAATGCCGCTTCAATATTCCTGGATTTTCCAGAAAGAGGAGAAGCCAAGGCGCCTGCAGAAAGAGAAGGAGCTCCAGGAGGTGGCGCTGTCACACTACAAGCGGGTGCTGCTGAGGTCCCACGGCCTGGAGCCTTAGAAGAAACTTATGGTGCAGAACGGACAGAACATGGAGGTATGGACATGGCAGCCGGGGACAGCGCCCCACTATGGCACACTCAGATTATTGCATCTCTGTGGGGAGATGGCTGGGAATAAATGTGACACAGATTGTTTAATCCCCTCCCCTCTCTCACCAGTACACCCCCTATGGAGCACAACAGATTTTATATAGAGCTGTCAGATTACTTCATATCAGTCCTTAACCCTCAAGGGGCATACAGTCTAAGGGCCCTAACTCCCATTCATACACATACTAGGGCCAATTTATACAGGAGCCAATTAACCTCCCAGCATGTATTTATAGTGTGGGAGGAAAGCAGAGTACCTAGAGGAAACTCACACAGGCACAGGGAGAACATGCAAACTCCATGCAGTTGGTGCCATGGTTGGGATTTGAACCACGCCCCCAGTGCTGCCAGGTGGAAGTGCTAACCATTCAGCCACTGTGCTGCCCAACGTTGTCATTCCTTCAGATAACAGAGTGATACATACAAGGCTTTCTTTCTGAATTTTCTCTTTCAAAACTGAACTTTTTTATTCACTTCTGAAACGAAAAAAAAAAACAAAACCAAAAAAATAAACAAAAATAAAGTATTCATTTGTCTTGTTTAA